TTGCCAAGCCATGAAAATTGACCAACGAATGTCATGTGTTTTTAAGTGTTTCTTAATCGGACAACGCTCAGTCAATATGGACATATGAGATTCCTTGACGACGCCATTCTCCGAAACCGAAATTCCTTTGCGTGTTCGCGGTCGATCTGATCGCACCATTACCCTGCACAGACGCAGCAGCATCGGATATGCTGAACCGATCACGGATGTTCAATCTTGCGAACCACAGCTTGCGTCAGGCGGTGCCAATGGCATGACAGCACAGGTGAAGGCGGTGTCTTGAAAGGATGGGCAGTACGTAGGAAAAATAGCTGATGAAGTTATACTCATATACATACATACATACATACATACATACATACATACATACATACATACATACATACATACATACATACATACATACATACATACATACATACATGCATGTATGCATGCATGCATGCATATATATATATATATATATATATATATATATATATATATATATAGCATAAATATGCGCGCTCTCAACAAGCCATTGGCTCCGAAAATGTTTGTGTTTTCAAACACACATGAGTTTATTTTCTCGCTCGGTGACTGCAAGATCATATCTACTTTGAACTGAACGTTTGTCAGAGGGCTCCAGTGAAACATCTGCCTTCCATGTCTTAACACGCGCTCGGCTGGAGCAGGGGTCAAGCTGCCCCCCGAAGGTTTTTCCGGAATGGTTTCCGAACAGCGCAGCGCAGCCGTGCCAAATCTTGCATAGCTGTAGACAATTGAATAGCGGATCGTTTGGCATCAAAATTTTACATGTACCTTGTAAGGTCGCTGACCTATGGCATGTCAAAGTCAGACCATGGTTTCAGCGAAGCCAATTTCTAGGGAATCCTTTAATCTGATCAAACAACGGAGTGTTAGACGAAGCCATACATCTATGAAATGCTTTCTTAGGCAATACAATAGTTCAATGAGCAGATTAAATTGACATAAGGCCAGGTATGAAGGTCACACCAAGGTCAAAATAAACCCGTTTTGTTGCTCTAGGGCTTGCTGTATGGGATAGTTTCTGCTGATCATTTCGAGTTTATTGATTGCAGGAACCGCATTATACATCTTTCATTGACTTCTTAGAGCTTAAAATAGGTCATTGACCTAAAATTACCCAGGTCAACATTTTTTAAAGGAACATACCGCCTAGCGTAATCTTTGTCGCTTATTCAAATGCAAAACTTAAAGCAATATTGTATGATTTTGGTTACCCTGACCTTCATAAGGTCAAAAATGTCACTGACCTTGGGTGAGAATGTGACCTTTTGCTTAGAAACGGTTATCTAGGTTCTGGGGGCACTTTGGAGACCAGCCTGGAGCTTGACCTTGTTTGACCTTTTTTGACCCGAAGGTCATGACCTAGTAACCTAAATCTGAGATCTAAGTAAGTTCACGTACAGGTCAACACACCCTGTAAATTTAGTGTTTCTAGCTTTCTTGGTTCCCAAGATCTCAGGGGGTCAAATTGACCCCCACCCCACCCGAGCGAAGGTATCTAGCCGGCCACCTCTGGGGCGTGTTAAGGAAACGTATGGCCCGCGTATGACTCATCAGCATTATATGATCCGCATGGACCAAATTTGGTGTCAAGAGCAATATTGGATGCAGCGTATTATAGCTTTCAACAGAAATATATTTGTCGTCGGGCACAGAGGGAATGCATTTCTGAGCTTGAAGTTTTAGCTTCATCCAGGACCTGGAGAAGTTTATCAAGCATTTGGCCGATATAGACTTCAAGCGGGTTTGCAATTGTAGGAGTGCCCTCCAAATTTTGGACAGTAGGAAACGGATTAACCCAAGATTGATTATCTGAAGAGCGTTCATCAGCCAGTTCAGATAAAGCACAACACAGATCGATCAACCACGTGCCGCACGTCGATATGTTATCTCGTTTGCACGAGGGCGGTGAGATTGGGGGAAGTAACTCAACAGGAGCTCAAACCGGCGCAGTTCCACGTGAGCTGCTGGCTCGGGGCGGCGACTCCGAGAGTGACCTATGTGTGGCGAGGTTCGAGCGGGCGAGCACTGACCAGCACCCCTGGCTGCCGACCTCAACCCGGTGGTCGCCGAGAACGGGTGCACGCGGCACCCGCTAACACCCCTGACGACTGGATTCTGAAGCTCTACTTGGCCGAGTCAAGGTCGGGGGAGACGCGCGGTACACGGGTCACACGGGATGAGGATACCCATTGCACCCGTAGCTTCCAGTCTGGTGACACCCACCGGTTGCGGTGGTCGGCTGACCAGTCCCGAAAGTGCGTAACCTGTGGAATTATCACCGAGGGGGCTCGGGAGGTTAACGCAACGACCGCTGATCGTTTCTTGCAATTATCTCTCGAGCCAAAAGCCTTGCGGTGTTATCAATGACAGGATACAATGTCCCGAACCATAGCCCATCGTTTGACTCAGTAAATGACCACCTTGTCAAATTATAAAAAAGCAATTATAAATTAACTTTTTGTATTGCCTCACAAACTGTCCCGGAGATGTATGTCTTCGTCTAACACTGATTTGTTGCATCATGTTACATGGTTCCCTAGAAATGCCGTTTGCTTGCAGCCACGGCCTGGCACCTGCCGGAGCTCAGCGACGTTACAAGGAACATCTATTTCGTTACATTAAAAGATTTGCTATTTAATCCTCTACTGTCGTGCAAAGTTTGGCGCGGTTACGCCGCGCCGTTCGGAAGTCATTTTGGAAAACCTTCGTGGGTGGCCTTATCCAGGGCCTGTTAGCACCCTGGCGCGTATTAACAACGTGTCGTTACATCACACTGATAAAACTGGACCACAGCTGCACTTGATCGGACGGCGAAGAAGATACGTTAGCAACAAGCACGGCGACGGTGCAGTATCACAACATCAAGATAACCCACAATGTGCATGAGTCCGTGCGAGATGGGTAAAAAATATCTGCAGCAAAAACTAGAAACTGAATCAAATTGGATGCAGAAGAAATAAGGAAAGTGAAATAACATTACCAAAAGATGAACCGATACCCCAACACACGTTAAACACTCTGGAACAATGGCCGGCCTTGCACCTGCGATCATGCCGGCGCCCAGCCGCCTTCCGATCCGACCAACAAATGGCCGGCTGTCCCGCGCGGCCAGGCCGAGGGGTGGGTCACGTGACACCGACCACCACGTCGGCAGCGGCGCCGCCCAATTCCAAGAAAACCGGGTGGTTCGCGACACACAACAGGAGCGGCACAAATTGCCCAATAACCGGGCAGTCAGCTGTGATAACAGCTGACTATATATACGATAATATATATATATATATATATATATATATATATATATATATATATGTAATGTCCTAAAATGCCGGGTTGCGCTGGCCACCTCCGGCAGATGTGGGTACGCAGCTTGTTTAAGTGTTTACTGTGTACCCACGTCCCACATACAGCAACAGATCACGTTGGCTATATTGAAGGAGAAGCAGATGAATCCCTGTGGATCAGCTCATGCCAAAAACAGGCAGTTTCCTGGAATTCAATTTTTCTGCGGTATGATGTAAGGGAAGACAATGAGAACATACGTACTGAAGCAAGGGTCCCATCTGAGTGATGCACCAATCAGCAGTGATGATGATGCATCAACAGTCGTGCAATCAGTTTTCATCAATCCATTTCGCAATGCCGCAAAGCTGGCATGCGATCAGTTGGCGTCAATCCATTTTGCATACGGTTCCTTTTCAGTCATCTACTAACCCCTGGCCATGTGATGGTCCGAGATATGGAAGTCAGCGATGACGGGTGAGGCCGGCTGGCGAATATAAGATTGGTCACGCAGCACCTGGTGTGTAGTTGGGCTCGCTCTCGGACGGCTGCGACAGCAGCACTGAAACACTCCGACAGCAACTGATACAGAATCGAGGTAGAAAGATGGTTTAGGGCCCACCTTCCGCATCACCCGTCGTTTTACGATATAATCTAATTTTGACCATATCCCCCACGTACCATGGGGCTCTTGATCCGACTCACACCACCCCACGAAATTCTGGCCGCGCCACTGCTGGAGACTGAACAGACGGTAGTTTTTGTGATGAGTCGCTGGTGCGGAATACGTTGCTACGGGACGTCCCGTTGCGACCTTGCGAAGGGCGCTTAGCGACGGAAACCGGTGAAGTCCAGCTGCATTTTGTGGACCTGAGCACAGTATATTTTATTGCAGCTGATTGTGCCGAGGATATCGGCAAAAATGAACAGTAGCAACACACACACACACACACACACACACACACACACACACACACACACGCACACGCACACGCACACGCACGCGCACGCGCACGCGCACGCGCACGCGCACGCGCACGCGCACGCGCACGCGCACGCGCACGCGCACGCGCACGCGCACGCGCACGCGCACGCGCACGCGCACGCGCACGCGCACGCGCACGCGCACGCGCACGCGCACGCGCACGCGCACGCGCACGCGCACGCGCACGCGCACGCGCACGCGCACGCGCACGCGCACGCGCACGCACACGCACACGCACACGCACACGCACACGCACACGCACACGCACACGCACACGCACACGCACACGCACACGCACACGCACACGCACACGCACACGCACACGCACACGCACACGCACACGCACACGCACACGCACACGCACACGCACACGCACACGCACACGCACACGCACACGCACACGCACACGCACACGCACACGCACACGCGCACGCGCACGCGCACGCGCACACGCACACGCACACGCACACGTGCCCGTACGCATGCATGCATGCACGCGGGTATTTACGTACTTGCGCTCAAATGCACGCATATGCATACACGACTTCTGCGGCTGGTACTTTCTTGAGAGATCGTGACCTCGCATAGGACTGTCCGGCCTGCGTGAACGTGAGACCGACAGTGCGCGGCTCCATGCTCACGCTGGACCGCCGTGCCTACGCCGTATGAGTGTGAGTGACCTTTCCACGGCCTGTTGCAGAGTGGAAGACGATCCTGGACGGGGTGACGGGTACCTTCCGACCCGGTCAGCTCACAGCCATCATGGGTCCCTCGGGCGCCGGCAAGTCCACATTGCTGAACGTGCTCGCTGGATACAAGTCAGTTGCCATTCCTCCCCCGTCCCTCCATGTGAAGGCAAACATTCTGTATAAATTCCAAGATGACTTACATAATGTTTGCCTTGACACGACGGTCACCTGTGTGCCGCGATTTTGACTCTAGGAGGCTGCTTCCAAAGTGCAAACAAATTTAAGTTAAACGCATCTACGCCGCACGCACGTAGTGACGCGCGTGCGTAGGCAAGCATTCCGTCAGGCAAACACGCCGTGAAGCATCATGGAATTTCAAAAAGCGAGTGCCTTGTCATGCTAAACTGCCATTCGGCATAGGCACATGCTTTCGCAAATAGCAAGTCTGGATCTTGCAGATGCTTTAATGATAACGAACTTAACTTCAACTTCACCGTAGTCTCTTACTGTAGAATACCTAGCAGGTCCTTGTCCTAACAAAGTGCAAGTGCAGCGCAGTGTCATGATCAATTTCTTGTGGCAGTGTACAAGTGCAGCGCAGTGCCTTGCTCAGTTCTTTGTCGTGACAGTGCACAAATGCAGTGCAGTATCTTCATCAATGCCTGGTTTCGTGGCAGGCCACAAGTGAAGTGCAGCGCCTTTATCAGTGCCTTGTTTCGTGGCAGGGCACAAGTGCAGTGCAGTGCCTTCACCAGTGCCTTGCTTCGTGGCAGTGCACAAGTGCAGTGCAGTGCCTTGTGTCGTGGCAGTGCCTTGATCAGTTCCTCGTCATGCCTTATTAGTGCTAAGCCGGGTGTTGCCATTAAGTCACCGTACAGCACACAAGTATGTCAAATTGGCCTTAACCACAGCGGTAAACATATGCACCGTAGACAATAGTGTGACAAAGTCGCAGACACATATACAATTAAATTATGTCTCCAACTTATTTTCTGATTTTTGATGGCAGGTGGACTAGTCGTACTAACGTGGAACATGCCCAAGCGTCATTGACTTGAGCAGTGTCTAACCGGACATAATGCCTGACGCCACCTGCTGTGAGGTTGATTAGCAGGAGCAGGCTGTCACGTGGCGCTAACCACTGCGCAGCTGCCGGCCGTAGCTAACCACTGCGCAGCTGCCGGCCTTAGCTAACCACTGCGCAGCTGCCGGCCTTAGCTAACCACTGCGCAGCTGCCGGCCTCAGCGTGGGCTGCCACCCCTGCCAGGCGCCACCCGCTGGCTGCAGTCCAGCGTGGGTTGCCACCTCTGCTAGGCGCCACCCGCTGGCTGCAGTCCAGCGTGGGTTGCCACCCCTGCTAGGCGCCGCCCGCTGGCTGTAGTCCAGCCGGTGACGCTTAGCCCTCGAAGGGTTCTCACGGGGCAGATTAAGGCTCAGTCAAAATACAGGCTGCGCAAAATCGTTGCACTAGAAGTCAACGCGCAGTTCAAAAACGTGAAGTTATAGAGTTGTGTTATGTGCTTGGGCATAGACCAGCTAGGAATCTCTGTAACTGGTGCAAAGAGCGAAATGCTAGAGGGAGAGGTTCTCAGTCAATGATGTGCGGGGGCGATGATGCAATCAAACCAACAAACAAACAAACCGACATGCAATCAAACCGTCACTCCATTTATACCGATTTCTCCACGACTGAAAACCGCACCGGATGTGCCGTGCTCTGTCACACACTATTCACAAAACTGTAGATTACCTGATGGGACATCTTGGGTTGCAAACATCTTGGGTTGCATCTTGGGTTTATCTTGCAAAACTATTCACCCTATTTTTTTTTGCAATACGCCGAACGAGAAAGTCATGCGACCAAACCCATAGCACTTTGTTCGGATTCAAGGGCGGCCCTGCCGTTACTTATTGCCTCTGACTTAACCCACCACCGCCCTGTCAACATCATAATCATATATAATTCTTCACGCACACTAGACATAGGCATTAAATTTGTTGTGGGTGCCAGGCTATTGGGGTGTCACAGGGAATGAACGGGCAAACCAATTGGCCAAAGTAGCACTGACGTCCCCTGACATCACAACCATCCCTGTTGACCGTCCTTCTATAGAAATGGTGATTCACAATTTGGCAAAATAAGTTTGGCAACGATAGTGGGCAGGAGCCGCCAGGACTTCACTTCATGACATTAAACCAGAAATTGCACATTGGCCGTCAGTACACCGTCCAGAACGTTTGGAAGAAACAACATTAACACGTCTTCGAATTGGACACACAAAGCTTACACATAGATGTTTATATGTAAAACACACTCGTTCCCTTTACCGCGTTATAGTACCCTTGCAGTTAAATATATTTTTCTTGAATGTGACGAATGTCAACAGCAGCGGGAGACATTGGAGGTATATTGTCGTCAATACAACGCTGTGTAGTCGTTAGAAAGTTTTATCAACTTGAAAGCGTTGTTGATTTCTTCAATCACATATTTAAGCTCGACTTGAAATAATCCTCTCAGGGGCGTGAAATGGTTCGAACGGGCCGAAGCACCTCAAACCAAATAAAGAAAGGGATAGTACACTGTGGGGCAGGTTTGCTTGCGCCGCACCACGTGTGGTGGTCCGATCGTGGCCAAGGTCAGAGACATTTCTCCGGCTCTATAAATGCAATGCCGGATCAGCTGATGATCGGTCCTCTGCTCCGAAGATATTTAAATATCGATTGGAGGGTGCCGAATTAGAAGCCGTCATGCAACACGGAAGAACTAGTTCGTTTCACAGTCATGCACATCAAAATAAACCATTGCTTTACCACATAATTACAAATATGGATGTCTGTGTTAAATGGTTACTTTACAAACATTAGTTGTATTCATTTAAGCAAACGTTTCAAAGAACCGCCAGTTTGAAGCGAGTAGCGCTGACGAAACACTGCACAATGACAAGGTCTGGCAGAGGCCACCCGGCCTTAATGGGTGGAGGGGGGCAAAAAGATGAGTTTCTTGAAAAGATTGGAACACCAGCCGTGCTGGAGGATGTCGACTGGGTGGAGTGTATGCTTATTGGGAAGCAAATGATGCCACAATCGCCCAAATCTTCGCCAGGGGAACAAGCTCTAAAACTTTTCGAATAGCGTAAATTTGACATGCGAACCCTTTTGCCATGAAAGACATGAACTCGTTGGATCCTGAGTGCTACCAACTATAGTTGGGGGCGCCTGAGCCCATTGACGCACATCAGTGGCGCCCCTGAACAGCTTGCTAACGCTCTTGGATCGGTACCCCGATCGGCCAGAGTGCGAAACGTGGAGGGCAGCATCAAGATCAACGGTGCAGCGCGGAACCTGCAGACGTTCCGTAAGATCCAGGCGTACATCATGCAGGACGACTACCTGCTGCCCTACATCAGCGTCGACGAGGCCATGATGGCGGCGGCCAACCTCAAGCTGGGAGCAGGATTCACCCACCAGAGCCGGCGGCAGGTGGTAAGTTCAGCATTGGATGTGGGCCCGTCCGATATACTACTGCTTGCTCATAATCGCAGAGTACTGAAAAAGTATTTCAGCTCCTGGTTTTTGGGCATCATGAGTTGAAAGTTATTGTGTTGACATAACTACCTCCAATTAACCAAGAGGTACTGGTTAAACGGCGTTGTAATGCTAGATAGCGATTATATTGATGGTGTTCAATATCTTTGGGCTGTGCTCATCCTCGAGGGTGGCAAGGGTTCAGAAAGGTTCAGCAAAACATTGCACTTGAAAAACTCACGTGAAATCAGAAAATGCGTCAAAATCCGCATTGCCGCTAGATGATGTTAAACAATGCAGATCATTCCAGGTCTTAACACCCAGCATGCAATCCAACGTTCAAAGCTGTAAAGTAAACGAAAAGATGACAACACAGGCAGCTAATCCGCCAGCTTAGCAAGGTTGGCTCAGATAATTAGGCAAGAACATTGTTTGCTGCGTATCAGTCACTACGAACACCGCCTGAACATAAAGAACATGCAGAACCTAAACACTCAGACCAGGTCCCATGCTGAAGTTTGCATGTTCAGCCAACGGCCACGATTCCGAGTGTGCTGCGATTCTAAGATCTTGGGTCCACGTTGCCTTTAACTGTCGGTAACGTTTTAATTTTAAGGCTGGTATTTGTTGCGCTATGCTCTATCTCTGCGTGTCTGCCTGCCATATGCTCTGCTGGTGTTGTACATGTAAACCTGACCGGGTTGAAAAAGTCAACTCATCTTGTTGGTCGATAACTGGTTTGGTCTTAAAATGTTTGGACTTGGGCCGGTTCATCATTCCCTGACTTCGGCCAACACAACCAACTGATTCTAATGCTATGTCATCAAACTAATTTTCCAGATCAAGTTTATGTTTTAACGGCAGGGATGGCGAATTACAACGAAGGCGAAGAAACACGCTCACTATAGATTCTTCTCGCTTTAGTCAGCGCTACTTGTCTTCCGCGACCAAAAACTCAAGGTTCTTGAGGACAGCAATACTTCTCACGGTCGCCTCGCGTTGGGTACAGGTCATAATACTGATACAGAAAATACGCTTATTTTGACAGAAGACGAAAATGCTGTGAAATTCGTAACTGAGTAAAATGCACACGGGAGGCAAAACGTCCAGGCATTGTTGCTACAGAACTGCGAAGTGCATTTTTCGATATGCAACCCAAAAAGGAATGAGCAAGTGGTTAGAAATGCAATAGCACGTGACCTACTCGTATGCTCTCCGGAAGCATGCGTCTGCATGGTGTTTATTAAGCCGGTTACAAATGCTACGTTTTGTTGTTCCGACATCAAATATTCCTATCCAATGGCGCAGAATATGTTATATTCTAATTTTTTTCGTGTGCATTTCCCCTTCGTTCCATTTGCAACAATGTGAAGGAGTGGCGAAAATCCGCTTCTTGAAATATGCTTGCGGCAGATTGCGCAATTTTCACCGCTCACCCCTTCCACCCTACCGACTGTGAAACTATGCCCCTGCGCACGTAGGAATTTTCACACTGCACAAAATGCGTAACTAGCCCCCCCCCCCCCCGTCCCAACAGAACGAATGGTCATTTTGACCAATGGCTTCATGTTTTGACATGTCAATCCGAATCCCCGAATCCGAAGCCAGTGGTTGCATACTTTTGTACACGTGAAGCGGAAGCCGAATCAGCAGCTCGGAACATAAAGGAAATATTCCACACTTGAAGATCGTGAAAAAAGCATCAGATGTAATGATATAACCTCGCTTACAACTTAGCTATGTTTTTAGGTGGAAAAGACTGTTATAGACTTTTAAGTAAACATGGCCCTCAATACGGCATAGTTTAATTGCATCATGAAACATCTGTATGACGTTGAGGTGCCGCCAAACTAGCCCTGCGAGATTGTCACCTTAGCACTCTGGTATCCGGCATATAAGCCCCCTGTACACACATCCAAGAAGCACATCATGCCGTGCTTTCCAGCCGCCGCCACCGGCGCAACAATACTGAATACCTAACCTGGCGACAGAGCGTCGACAGTACATGCCGGCACTCAGGCCTTTTGTTGTGGGGCGATTGCAGCCGCACAGTCGCAGTACATTCTTCATGACGTTTGCTTTGGGACGTGCGCCTACGTCAACCCAAACGTGACGTTTTACATCTCGTGGCTTTGTAGCCCATGAAAGCAAGTTGTTCCAATAAAATGATCCTTCCAATAAAAGTAAGAACTTGACTAGTTATGTGCTGCTTGCGTCGCCCCCAGGTGGATGACGTGCTGGAGACGCTGGGACTCTCCTCCTGTGGTAACACTCGCTGCCTGCGCCTGTCGGGCGGCCAGAGGAAGCGGCTCTCGATCGCGCTGGAACTGCTCAACAACCCGCCAGTGATGTTCTTCGACGAGCCCACCAGGTCAGTGGACAGGCCACCTGAGCGCTTGCCGGTTGACCATCGCCTGCCTTTGCCACGGCCACCGGTGACAGGTCCCCAGCTGTCGGCCAGGGCTTGGTCTGGGGTCTGCTGCTTTCCCCGGGCCCCTATTCAGACACGGCACCAGTGGTGGAAGGATGCCGAGTAATAACTCACTCGCCTGGGTCTCGCATGTGTTCTGACGAATGCAACAATCAGATTTTTCAAAAGTTTGTCCCCCGTGCCGGATAATCAGTTTTGTCATCAGCTTCCACAAGCCGCTACGGTGAAACGAGACGCCGTATCTGCATTTACCCTGTCTGACCCGATCGTGTACCGCTTTACCTGCCCTGCCCTGCCCTGCGCTGCCTATCTTGCCCCGCCCCGCCCTGTATTCAGCCCGTTTTACATCCCCGAATATTAAAGTAACGCCACTGAGGCCAACATCATAGGATAGTGCGGCAGTCTCTCCCACACTGCAGCGACACCATGTAATCGGTGTGGAGAGCTGATAACGGGAGATTCTCTTCCGGTTCCTGATCTTTGCTGACTTGCGGCTTCTTTCTGGGTTGCAGTGGTCTAGACAGTACCTCATGCTCCTCGTGCGTGTCGCTGCTGAAGACGCTGTCGCAAGGCGGCAGGACCATCATCTGCACCATCCATCAGCCGTCCTCGCGGCTGTTCCAGCAGTTTGACCAGTTGTACATCCTGTCGCGGGGCAGCTGCATCTACCGCGGCACGAGGTCCAACCTGGTGCCGGCGCTGGCCGCCGCCGGCCTCGACTGCCCCGGCTATCACAACCCGGCCGACTTCGGTAGGTGAACTTACCACAACCCGGCCGACTTCGGTAGGTGAACTTACCACAACCCGGCTGACTTCGGTAGGTGAACTTACCACAACCCGGCTGACTTCGGTAGATGAACTTACCGCAACCCGGCTGACTTTTGTAGGTGAAGTTACCACGAAATGGGCTGACAACATGACTGAAAACTCCATTAACGGCCTTACGTGATGGTCTGACATGATAACCTAGCCTTGACCGCACCTAAATTCGGTACGCCAGACACCACTACTCCGGTTACCACCATCTGACCGTATTCGGTATTTCAGTTAGTTTCGACAAGGGTCTGAACACAGAGTTCACACGACTCTGGTTTTGATGCAGGCCTCTGCGGACCCGAACGGCCACGACTGACGCCAACTCGACTGGCTCACGCGAAACTACAGCTGACACCGTTTTCAGTATTCTTATGTGAACGTATGGACGTGAAACTATACTCATCAATGGCTTACTAATTTGTCCCGTTCTTAGTTCATCTGCGTGTACAGAGCGACATGAAGTCGCACTAGCGGCAGTTTTGTTTTCTGAAACTCTGGTAGTTTCCTTGGTAACCGGGCTCTGATCGAGCATGATATCGTGAGCTCGGATGGCGCCAGGACAGTTGGCCTGTGCTGTCCCTTAACACGCGCTCGGGCGGGGGTCAAATTGACTCCTCGAAAGTTTTCCCGGCATGGGTTCCGAACGGCGCGGCGAAGCCGCGCCAAATTTTACAAAGCTGTAGGGAATTGAATAGTGGATCGTCTGAGATTAAAATTTAGATGTACTTTGTAAGGTCGCTGACCTGTGGTAGGTCAACGTCAGGCTACGGTTTCAGCGAAGACACGTTCTAGGGAATTGTTCAATCCGATCAAGCAACGGAGTTTTAGATGAAGCCAGACATCTCTGAGATACTTTACTAGGCAACACAGCAATTGAATAAACAAATCGAATTGACCTAGGGTCAGGCATGAAGGTTAGACCACGGTCAAAGCCAACCTGTTTTATCACTCTCGGGCTTCCTGTATGGAATGATTTCTGGTGCTCATTTCGAATATATTGATAGCAGGAACCGCATTATACGCCTTCCATGTACTTCTTATAGGTCAAAATAGATCAGTGACCTAAAATGACCCAGGTCAACACGCTGTTTTTGGGGACATGCTGCCTAGCGTAATCTTAATCGTTTATTCACATGCAAAACTCAAAACAGTCTTATATCATTTTGATCATCATGACTTAAAAGGCCAAACGAGGTCACTGACCTTAGCTGAGCGTGTGAAATGTTTCTTAGAACAGTTGCCTAGGTTCTAGGGGCCATCTGGAGACATGTCGGGAATTTGACCTTGTTTGACCTTACCTGAACTGAAGGTCATGACCGAGGAATTTTAGACTTTGACCTAAGTGAGTTCACGTACAGGTCAACACGCCCTGTGAATTTGGTGTCTCTAGCTCTCTTAATTCCCGAGATCTCAGGGGGGGGGGGTCAAATTGACCCCTCCATTCGAGGGAAGGGTGTCCAACCGGCCACCCGGGTGCGTGTTTTAAGGTCAGACAAGGTCACTGACCCTAACTGAGCATGACATTTTTCTTAGAACAGTTGCCTAGGTTCTAGGGTCCTTTTGGAGGCCAGTCTGGAATTTGACCTTGTTTGACCCTATTTGAGCCGAAGGCCATAACCTATGAACTGCAAGTCTTGACCTAAGCGAGTTCACGTATAGGTCAACACACTGTGTGAATTTGGTGTCTCTATCTCTCCTAGTTGCCGAGATTTCAGCTGGGGTTCCCGATATTTCAGCGTGCGTGCGTGCATGCGCCGCTCGACACGCGGGCTGACGAGAATTCGGGTTTGCCAGACGCTGAACGTCTTCAAACGACTGTCGAAAGTTTGTAAACGCCATTGTGCACCAGCATGGTTCCTGTTGAGATATGGCTAGCCTTGCAGGGTTTGGTATCTCCTCCCTCCCTCCTGGGGCTGGTAGTGTACACGCGGGCTCGTGTGCTGCCGTATCTGAATTCGAAATCCAAAGCGGGATATTTGACCCTGAAACTGGACGGCCTTGTGTTTCGATTGACTCGATCCCTGTCCGGCGCCAACCATTCGGTAAAGCCGCACTGGGGAATGTGTTTACAGTCTTCGCGACAGCTGAAGCATGTCACCGTTAGAATGTGAGTGTGTAGTACAAACGTCTGCGTATTGTCTTCACTAGGCTGCCTCAGCTTTGTCACCAGGCGTTAATGTCTGGGGCGAGCCGTGCTCGGCAGCGCCCGGCCCGGGCCGTTCGGAGTTTCAGAAGCGCGGCGACCGTCGCCAGCGTGCCCGCTCTTTTTACGCTTGATGCAGTTCATGATAAGACGTGACGTTTGTACGGTTCACTGAGCACCGGATTTGGTGGTGGCAAATGCATTGTACCAGGCTCCGTACGCACAGGGATGACGTAGTCGGGGAGTTCATCGACCGACGAATAAGATCGTGTGAGATCGACACCGGCACGGACAGTGCGCTGACACGCCGTGTCTTTGGGAGGTTGTATAACTATCCTTATCGGACGATTATTATCTTTATTGTCACCGTATCAGTTAAGCTTCTCCGTGGCTTAGAGGCACGCTGCGTGACGACTGGCTCTGCTGACCTATGAACTGTTTGACTTGTGTTACGACAGAGCAAAGCTGCTGTCGTATAAAATCATAGCCAGTAATATTTTATTGTTTAAAAATCTGGTCTGAAGAGAGCTGTATGTAGGACGCAGTGCAAACGTGTTCTGGGATGTAGCTATTCGTGACGTTTGGTAGGATTTCTTTCCCCATAGCGACGGTATTGCCAACGATTGCAGCAACGGGCACGCAGCCAGATCGCGGATTTTGGTTAGCACATCTCTTGCATCATTATGCGAGCTTGCGATTGGATTTAATGCGATGTAGTTCGGACATCATGCCCTTCCACACCGACGTCCCACACACGTGCTGTTGCCTGGGCTACCGTGACGGCGGCGCCACGTGCATGAGCACCTTCTGGTGCCGTTGATGTGCTTACACGCAACAAATGCAGCAACGTACGCTGCAGTGGTCCTGATTAGGCAGGTGTCCTGAACTGAGGTGCTGGTGTCTTTTCCGCAGTGATAGAGGCGGCGAGCGGCGAGTACGGCGACTGGACCAGCCCGCTGGTGGAGGCCGCCCAAAACGGCCGATCTCGGACTTGGAGCGGGCCGGACCCGCTTGCCGGACAGTTTACAGCCGACGACTTTCAGCAGAGCGGTCAGTGTCTAGACGGGTAGGCTGCCCGGCCGGCGGGCAGACTGCCCGGGCAGCGGGCGGGCGTTGCGGTCACTCGGCTACCGACCCCGCTGACATTACGCCCGGCGCGGCACAGCTGCTGCACTTCCGGTGGGGGTTAGCTGCTGCACTTCCGGTGGGGGTTAGCTGCTGCACTTCCGGTGGGGGTTAGCTGCTGCACTTCCGGTGGGGGTTAGCTGCTGCACCTCCGGTGGGTGTTAGCTGCTGCACCTCCGGTGGGGGTTAGCTGCTGCACCTCCGGTGGGGGTTAGCTGCTGCACCTCCGGTGGGGGTTAGCTGCTGCACCTCCGGTGGGGGTTAGCTGCTGCACCTCCGGTGGGGGTTAGCTGCTGCACCTCCGGTGGGGGTTAGCTGCTGCACCTCCGGTGGGGGTTAGCTGCTGCACCTCCGGTGGGGGTCAGCTGCTGCGCCTCCGGTGGGGGTCAGCTGCTGCACCTCCGGTGGGGTTCAACTGCTGCGCCGCCGGTGGGGGTCAGCTGCTGCTCCTCCGGTGGGGGTCAGCTACTACACCTCCGGCGGGGGTCAGCTGCTGCACCTCCAGTGAGGTCAGCTGCTGCACCTCCGGTGGGGTTCAGCTACTACACTTCCGGTGGGGGTCAGCTGCTGCACCGCCAGTGGGGGTCAGCTGCTGCACCTCCGGTGGGGGTCAACTGCTGCACCTCCGGTGGGAGTTAGCCGCTGCGCCGTCGGTGTGGGTCAGCCTCCGGTAGGGGTCAGCTGCTGTGTCAGAGTTTCACTGCATACTGATAATAACACAACGAGGAACGATTAGTTTGTGTGTTAGTTGTTACATCTCACGACAAATCGACTGATGCTGGACGCCCTTTTCTTATATTTTGACGAAAATTGTTTAACTGAGTACAAACTATTTCCGGGAGCTTTATCTCCATCATATTACCGGTTTGTGAGATGCAGGTATACAATTAAGACATCGATATACTAAGTCTACAAACAAAGCAGTAATGTTACGCTCAGTAATGTCGGGCTCCATCCCTTTTCAAAGGCCAATATGGACATTATGGCTCAGTTTCAGCGAAATCCCGTCAGTCATCCTTACAACTCACGCACTTTCCATAGAGTGCGAGTGATTTTTTGTCAAAAGCTCGTACTCGCCTATAAATTGTTTGAAGTGAATGACTGCTACCAACACGCGATGGCAAAAGTATATCACGTCACGCCATTTGGTGTCAGGAAGTCTTGACGGAGTGGTTAAAACCAAAGCTCCCCTGATGGCCCAGGTTCGAACCTCTAAGTTGAGAACGGCAAAGCTGAAAAGGAAAAATTATTTAAACTACTCAACAAAGGCGGCGTCTTGTCGGATTTTTTCTCACTTGGTTTTCAAAATTTGGCAATTGGGATAGAGGCTAAAATCCTTCCCCAACTGAAGAATATGCAGCTCTGTCATCATATCCTACTGGGAAATGTGCTCGAAAAGAAGTCCTCATTGTCGTGATCCGTATGATTTCTTGTTGCATGTTGCAGTGAACCTCAGGTGTAAACGGCTCTTAGCCTGCTGTGCTCTCCGATTAAGCATTGTCGTCATTTTCGGGTCATCCTAGCTATATATTTGCCTTCTGTTTTGGTGATAGTGCAGAAGCACGTGCACGGTTGATTGTTTAACCGTAGCGTTATGCTGTTGTTTTCCCCTGACACCATTAGGACTTGCCCTATCGTGGGTCAAGCCTCGCTGCGGTGGCGCCATGGTCAAAAATACACACGGCGTCGAGCTGTTGCATACATAATCCACCAGCATTGTGTCTGTATCCTGAAAAGTCCCTGTCGGTGCCAATGCATCACGTTTCCAATGTGCGCATTTCTCTTTACAGACGAAACAGACTTTGCCATTTCAAGGCTGGCTAACGGTGAACTGCTGGCGGACGGGAAGAGTAATGGTGGCAGTCAGTTGCACCACCAGAATAGCTCGCCACTCCTCCAGAACGGCTCGTCATCTCACCAAAACGGACCGTCACTCCAACAGAACTTCTCGGTGTCCCACCTTAGTGATCCGTTACCCCGCTCGAATGACATTTCATCCCACCATAGCAGCGCTCCGGCAAACCAAAGCGTGTCTTCGCTACCTCAGTACGTGGACGGGAGCGTACCGCGTCATAGTCGCGCGGCTCAGCATCCGAACGGCGCTGCGGGCGCTCTGTCGAGCGCACCAGGATCGCCCCTGAGCTGCGAGGCCGACGAGCCGTGCTGCACCAGCCGACTGCTGGAAGAGCAGGCGGCTGGGGACCACGCCGAGCGTGTCCAGCTGGGCGTCCTCTGTCCGAGGCTCGAGGCCGACGTCGGAGCCCGGCCGCTCGACCCTGTGTGCCGGCTGCAGCGACTGGACTCGGGCCGGGAGCTGTACAGAACGACGGCCACCACGCAGTTCTGCGTGCTACTCAAGCGCACGTGCAAGTCGATCGTTCGCGATCCGGTAAGGCCATCGCTGGTGTCTCACTTTTCTCTGATTTTGCATCGCCGGACGCCGTGCTTGGATCTGATTACTCTGCATAACCTATAGGAATTTCTCTGTCGATTGATGTGTTAAGCATGCGATAAGTTACGAAACTAAAAGTTTGCTGTCTTTTGAGACCAGCACTGGTTATCACACCACTGTCAATGACTGAACAGTTCTTGGGAATTCGTCAGATATTTGGTATTGCATTCGTTGTGCTCCTGTTTATTCCTCAATGTTTAGAAAGGCTCGAACATTTTCTTCTCAATGATCTTATCTTGACAGAACGCCCTGTTCGGGAGCACGCACTGATTGCTGATTTTTAGTTAGTTTATCTGCGACCCCATGACGTCGCCTGACAGCGTGCTGATGGCGTTTGCGTCAGATGCTGACCATGGCCCGCCTGGCGTCTCACCTGCTGTTCGGCCTGCTCATCGGCAGCCTCTATTTCCGCATTGGCAACGAGGCAAAAGATGTGTACAACAACGCCGCGCAGCTGTTCTTCGCGCTCATGTTCCTGCTGTTCAGCGCGCTCATGCCCACGATTCTCACCTGTGAGTCTGCAGTGCTCGCCCGGTCGCGGGCTAGGTCAGTCATGTCGCCGCTCGCCATCGCTCTCATCTGCATTATTTTAGACAGACATACTCCTGCTCACTCTCCTGACCTGTGCATCATTGGTTCTCATCTCAGCAGCTGAGCGCGTCGTTAAGCGCCAGTGGCACATACACGCACAAATTCCTGTATTATACAGATAAAATATTAGCCATGTTTGATCATCTGACCCTCCTATCCTCTTTCCTACTTTGTCCTTAATCTCCGCGACGCCCCGCTTGTCCGGGGCAGACCGCATGCGTCAGCTACGGGTGGGCCGAGAGACCATATGGGGAGGGGGACCCGACCGGGCGCCCAGCGCACAATCCCAGCAGTCCTCGCGCGGACTGTAGCTCGGCGGTTGGTTCCCCAGGCGTGTGTAGTCCTCTGAAATGATCATTTCTGGTCAAAAGCGCTCTTATCCAAGCAATCAAATGTGTGAAATATACACTGAGTGCAAAACATAGGTTGGCAGCAAATTAAAATCTTGTAGTTCCAGAAATCTAGCTTACGTACACCAGACGGGAATGATTCCGCGACCGTGGTTGTCGTGGCCTTGAATGTCGTTACCTGTGGGGTGACACAAGTTGAGTGACGTTCCTGTTGCGTCATGCATGCCCGGATGACCTTGAAATAATGTGCACGAAAAAAACTCGCACAACTACGCCGTCGTTTAGCTCAGAGATCAAGGAGTTTTAGGCTTTAAAAAGAGCAGGGCAGTGAACTACACAGAATTGTCTTCAAAATGGCGATGCTAGTTCAACAACCGGCACGAATGTGGAACACTCCCTTTAAGCCTTTTTACTTTCCAAGTGGCTACTAGCATTTTGCTAACACTGCGCAGCATTCTGCCAATACAAAACGCGGTCGGCAACCAACGAATCTGCAGATCGTAAGTGGTGAGACGCCACTGTGAGGTTTACAGTACCCCGCATCACTCATGTTTGCTCAAAAGAAAACAGGTAGCAATGTGCTCAAAATTCACAAAGAGAACTTTGGTATCAGTCTTGTGTTTCTGTATGGCGTGTGTTTGTAAACGTTGGTAGAAACGTTGTAATTATCAACGTTCAGGAAAAATTTGTTTTTGCCTGGCTTAGTATGGTAGATTATTGATCAAGGAATACAAAACAGTTGGCCAATCGCAAAATCTCTAAAAGGACAATCCAGTGATCTTTCTGGAAGGTTCTGTGATTTTCAGGTTGGATACACCACGGAGGTGATCTTGACCACCCCCATCCGTCCATGTTATGAAATGCGGGGAATCCTGGCAAAAATTTAATCAGTCCTGAGAACTTCCTTTATATTCGCGACACGTAGTCATGTGTGCATGTTAGCCGTCAATGCGGCATCAGGCTTTGGACCCACAGGCCTACAATTTAAATACAGACACTAATCGTCAGTCCCTCGAGGGGCATGCTTGTGTGCTAGAAGTTTCTGTAGTTTGGCTCCTGTACTTGTTCATGGTTGCCATGCTTGCGGCAGACCAAGGGCACTCAACGATGGTCACAGTAAACGGATTTCAATAAGAAGCTTATAAGTGTTGTGAGTAATGGGGCGTGTGCCAAGCCTTAAGGAAGCTTTTCACCTTATTGGGGCAAACACCAGGTGTGATGTCATTTTTTTGTAACTAACGGTTTGTTTCCTAAGCACAGAAGAATTTTATAGTAATGCAACTTTACTAATGAGTAGGTATGGCCCGTATTACGCATCGTTTGTTTACGCCATGGGAAGTCCTCATGGCGTCAGAGTCGCTGCCGGAGCTGCCGCTCCAAAGCTGCCGCTGTAACAAACGGGGTGATCCACTCATGGTACTTCTACGCGCTGCAAGGTGGCGTTGTTGATACGGAAAGTTGGCAGTGGTGACTTCCGAGGTTCGCTCAGCAACAGTTAGCCAATTAAACCAGTAGTAACCACCGTAACTTACTCTCATTCCAGCTGTTCTCTGGCGGACGTCCTGCTTTCGCTCGGGGAGCGGCACCTTGACAAAAACCGGATTACTTTTGCATTAATGGAACATTACCATGCATATGTGTGTTTTACAAGGGATGAAATGTCGTGTCATGACCTCATCGTCATCCCAGCTCTGAGATCTGCGAGGACGCGTCAGTTCTCCTCACCCGTGGTCACTCCGCCGGCCCCTTTTCCAGTTCCATTGGAGATGTCTGTTTTCAAGAAGGAGTACATGAACTGCTGGTATTCTGTCAAGTCATACTATCTGGCCAAGACGTTAGCTGATTTGCCATTTCAGGTAAGGCTCAGAAAGTATGTTTCATATTTTTGGTGCCTTCATCGCTTCTCTATTTTTTCATCGTCTCTTATAATGCCGGCGAAATGCTAGCGGGTACTGAATAATTTGGGGCTCAAATCTCCTACCAATTTATACATGACTTCTCTCCACACTCTTGATGTAGTTGCTGCGTCTATGTCCCAAATGGATTCAGTATGTGATATTTTCCGGGCGTCATCCGACTCCGTCCTCGTACCGCAGATAGCATTTCCGGTTATCTACGACGCCATCGTGTACTTCATGACGTCACAGCCCTTGGAGTGGGACCGGTTCTGCATGTTCTGCTTGATGACGATTCTGACGTCGCTTGTAGCGCAGAGCGTCGGTCTAGTCATAGGCGCCTGCTGTGGAATACAGGTAACGCACCATGGCTGGAGTGCATGTGCATCTCTCAGTAACCTACAGCGATTATGAACCCGTCTTGGCACACACGGGAACATGCGAACCGGACCGTGCAATCGGCCGCTGCCGGGGTGAGGGGAGGGGAGGGGAGCAACACCCCTCAGGTTATGGAGTCTGGCCCGCCGTCCGCCACCCGTTTTCTTCGGGCGGAATGCCTGGCCGGCCCGTGGCTGGGTTCGAGGGAAGCTGAGAAGTGTGAGCCCGCCTCGCCCTCTGAGTGTGACGGGCGCGCGTCTGCCATGAGGAGCATCCGTTGAGCGCCGCGTGGGTTCGGCGCGGCCTAGTGTTAGACGTGTTTCTCTGTATGTTTGTTGTGTTCTGCGTAGTATTTCGTCCTCGCAAATATTTTGCTGCTAAACCGTCTGCTGAACATGGACGTAGTGTGTTTTCTTACATGTCTTTGTCTCTTGCCTTTTCCGAATAGGTTCATTTAGCTGCTTTCGTTCTGACATGCGATAGAACTGACTGATGGTCGTTCGAAGTTTCAGGGACATAAGAGCAATAAAGCGTGTGATTATTCTTTGAACACTGGATGTTCCATTCAGCTCAGAATACTAGCATTGGACTGAGAAAAAAACATTTTTCGAATTTTGGTCAGCAGTTATCATTACCAACCGTTTTTACGATAAGCCATTGGCATGCGTTCTTGCGGTGGTCGCGAGCCGTTGCCAACGGAGACGTGCTTCAGGTGCGCTACAGTGGCGTTGTGCTGTTGTTACAGCTGGCCGTGTTCCTGGGGCCGGTCACGATGATCCCCATCATCCTGTTTTCGGGCTTCTTTGTGAACCTGAACACGATTCCGGTGTGGCTGTCGTGGGTGTCGTACATCTCGTACGCCCGATACAGCTTCCAGGGCCTCATGCTGTCCGTCTACGGCTTTGGTCGCGAAGATATGCACTGCTCACTACCCTACTGCCACTTCAGGAGCCCTGAGAAGTTTCTCAAGGTGGGTACCCTTGAGAATTGTGACGTCCAGCATACCTTATCAAGTGGCGTGTACAGGAAAATATTTACGAAGCAGCAAGCACAACAAGAAGAGCTTGCGTGTGGTGTTTGTATTCATGCTCCAACCATGAGGATAGCGTTTGGGCTGGCACGTTGCATGAAACGTGTGGCTCACCTGAGCTAATCACGGTCAGCTCCGCCCCGCCGGGAATGAAACACTAGCGATCGAGACACGCTCTCACCATTGATCAACTTGGAGTCCAACATTTGCCCGGCTTTGTGTTATTTGGACATCATTCGGTCACGTTGGGCGTATGATTTACGCATGGTCCACGCCGTACGCGCGCCGTATTGCGTGACCTCGTGGCCACGAGGTCACGCAATACTTCCCAGTGACCCAGAGTCACTGGGAACATTGACTTGTCAGTTTACATTCAACATCGCTACATTTATATAATTCTACCGGGGAATACATTCACTCAAAACCTGACTAATATATGATTAGTTGCGGGCAGGTGGGAGGTTCATTTGATAGCTGTTGTGTTAATGAATGGTTGGACCATAACTCAAAAGAAGGGATGAGTGATTGAGAAATGTTTGAATGAATGGGTTGGATGAATGGTTAGTCAGTCGTAGTTTTAAGACTTGGGTAGGCTCGGATGGATTTTCCTCCTGACGTTTCTGTGCGTATGATGTTTTTCTCTCCGTACTACAGCTGTGCGGAAAATGTTCATGTGGCACGTTACATTAGATCGCACCTACATGTAGCAAAGCAGGGATAAGCTGGGTCTTAAGTAGCTCAATAGTGGGAGCGCTCACTCCATGTGCAGGAAGCCAGCTGTTCGTGTTCAATGGACCAAATTTTCCGTGCTTGCCTTGGATGAGGAATAGCAGCTCACCACAAGGTGACAGCTCAAATGTCGTCTTTACAGCCGGGGAAAGGAGAGAAAACCATATAACTCATAAAATTACCTGTAATGGCCGATTGGTTAGCTCATTGGACCTCTGTGTGGGGCACGAGCTCGAATGCCGGTTACAATAGTTACAATAGGGTCCCTGAGCGCTTAAATGGTAGGCGAAGCTATTGAGGTTTCAGCAAAGTGTCGAAACAACATGCGTCGCGTTGTTGTTTTTTAAATAAAATGAGCTCAGAAAATGTATAGTAATTTGTGAGGAAAACTTGTCGACTCAAAACATTTTTCACAACCTAATTTGCATGCTTTTTCACATTTTACAACGTGCTCTAGCTTTAAAAGGAATGTGCCAGATACGTAAGGGTTTTTAACTGAAATAATTTTCTTAAAGGTCATTCGGCGCAGTTCACAGTCATGCTCTTCTTCAGACCTGAAACCGCCCAATTTCTGAGCTGTACGTTTGTGAAGATGTGCACACTGTTTCGTGCAGAATATTTCAAGGTCACCTAGGCATTCGTGACGTTCAAATAACGTCATCCGTGTCAGCCGTTCCTCCGGTCATGCGACGCTCGTGGTAAAGACAAGTATGATTATTCATTCGTCCATACCTGGCGTTCGTAAGCACGATTTTCAGACATAACGGCCGTCAGCTGACTCAGCCGATGTGTGCAAGCTATGCAAGGTGCTGACACGAATTACGTTGTGTTTTACATAACACAAAAAAGAAAAATACAAAAAGTTATGCATTTTTCGTAATTATTACGGAAATCAGACTTGCAATCGAGTGAGTTATGAAAAACGCTATGGCCGAGCGTGAGGATGCAATTAAATACATTAAACTCAGGATAAATACGCAAGAACACCACGAGAAATGAACCAAAACACGAGCACCTGACGATGCTTGGTTAGCGCACATCCAGCACGGCCGTGGGCCACCTCTCGGGAGATTGAAAAGCTATAAATGAATGTTGTAATGTAAATGCTCCATGACACAATCAAACAATGATATATTGAGGGACATCTTTATTAAATAAAGAACTGTGTTGTCGAGAGCAGTCTTTCCCACTTTAAAGTATACCAATGGTTATAAGGGAGCCATTTCATCATGACTGATGCTTGCTTCCATATCTCCCAATGTGGAACGTTTCCTTTAAGCGTATGAAGCAAACATGGAACTTTCTCTCAGTACAGTGTCCGCATTATCGCATTGCTTCATTATTTTGCGATATAATTTTTCTTGGATTTCCAATAGCAGGCTCTCTGGTCAAATCCTATGTCCTGGCATTTTTCGTCATGTCTAGTGGAAATGATCGTAGTTTCAGCTTCGTTTCTCAGCTTTCACAAATGTATGTGCGCTACTTTGATAATCTAAGAAACATTAGTATCAGGTAGGCTTTACCATCATAAGCTACAAGCGTGCTTTTTTCTTACGTGAACGAGCCTTCACCAACCGTACTTTTCTGCAGACTCTCCGAATCCTCAATAACTGCGTAATTATGACTATACCCGATCCCGAGCGTGGCCTGAATGTGATATCTATGCCACAGGGACTTTCCTGCTGCGAAACATGTTTACTATGCAACGCTGCTTTCTCTTGTACCGCACGCGCTGTCTTCCCGTGCTGATCTATCTGTGTGGGCTTCCCTCCAGGAGATGGACATGCTGGACGCCGACTACTGGACGGATGTGGCCGTGCTCTGCGCGATGACCGTCTGCCTGCGACTCATTGGCTACTTCGTGCTCCGCTGGAAGCTCAAGATGGAGCGATGAGGCCTGCCGCCGCTCTGGTGACACCAGCAATCGATGTGGCAGTCTGGACAACGGCCCAACACCGAGCTGGATGTTGGGGCAGCGGCTCATCAGCGGCGGAGCGTGCGGGACCGTGTGGGTGCGGGCTGCGGTGGAGCGTGCGGGACCGTGTGCGGGAGGGCTGCGGCTCATCAGCGATCGAGCGTGCGGGACCGCGTGCGTACGGGCTGCACCGACTAGACACGGGTCTGACCTGCGCACACTCTTCCGTTTGGTGCTGCGGTCTGGCTGTATAGCCCGTAACGCCACCCTGGCCCCAGCCTGAGACAGGCGGCCCGTGGACGACCGTTTGAACGCCGCCAGTTCGGCGCCGTCCGCTGGCGTTCCACCAGCGCCCCGGCGGAACGAGTGAGGTTCTGGGTGTCTGGAAGACATCGCGCCTCAACTTCGCCGTTCGGCCGCGCTCCGAAACAAATGCATGTGACATTGCGATATTTCTAGGATAGGAAAGAAGCTACGAGGTGTTTTCCAAGCTGTAATTGAGTTGTATCAGAAGCCACAGTTATCTTTTTTAGTTTTGATCATGTTTAGAGGAATGGATCGGAAGGCATGGGAACTTTTGCATGCTGGAGTTGATTTCGATCGGTGTAACTTTAGATTACATTTTGAAGGCAATGCTTTGGATTATTTACATTCAGCGGATTTGCGTTAGGCGGAGATCAATGGCAAATACGGCGACCAACGGCTCTTAACTGAAAGATGCTGCAAAAAGGTCACGCAATACCGTCCGCCTCAGTTCTGATATGATACTGATATTATTGCAAGCTCGCGATGGACCCACCATTAAGCTGTACTCAAGTGAGAGTGACTGTGGTCGTCAAGCAATATAACCTGTGCGGTGCCACAGATGTTTGCTGTAAGCTATCGTAAAGTTTCCTCATCATGTTAGCTGTATTGGTCATGCCTGAATGCCAAGGAAAGGTCCCAGGTTAAAACGAAACCAAGCAAAATACCATGGAGCCCAACGAATCTTTGGAAAAGGCCCAGGCAAGACCCTGGAAAACCTTCAGCACAGTTTTGAATTGGGTCCAGGACACCAAGAAGACATAAATCGGGATGAATCGCAGACCCTGGAAGATCTATGACGCGGGCCGGATGAATGGGATCCAACGCCCACCCCTAAGGTCCGCAGCAATGAACACCTTCTTGGCATGGTATTGGTGATTCCTATAGACTGGCAAGTTTTTTCCGGCCGGTGGGTTAATTACCTTGAGCGTTTATGCGCCAGCAAATCTTGTCGTTGGTATTCCATGTGTCTCAAAGGTCGCCGAGACAGTTATCAAAATAAGCCCAAAGAATGAATCTAAACAATGTATTTGACAGACATTATGGCCGGTGGAACGGGGTAGAACTCTCAAGATACAAGGAAGAGTTTTTGTTACCGACGCTTCTGAACCGTTAACAGACACGTATGCGCATTGCGTGCAAACAAGTCGTTTGGAAATAAATGACTACCGCTGAATGGTAACCGCCTCACATTATCTTGCGCACATGCAACCAATGGCAGATGTGTGTGTATGTGGGGGGGGGGGGGGGCGTCTGGACATGCGTGCGTGCGTTCTGCAGTTACCTGGCTGCCGCTGGTGCTGCGCGTCGCCAGCTGCCTCTGTCTCATCTCCTCATCGCAGTTCTGGCTGCCGCTGGTGCTGCGCGTCGCCAGCTGCCTCTGTCTCATCTCCTCATCGCAGTTCTGGCTGCCGCTGGTGCTGTGCGTCGCCAGCTGCCTCTATCTCATCTCCTCACGGCAGTTCTGGCTGCCGCTGGTGCTGTGCGTCGCCAGCTGCCTCTATCTCATCTCCTCACGGCAGTTCTGGCTGCCGCTGGTGCTGTGCGTCGCCAGCTGCCTCTATCTCATCTCCTCACGGCAGTTCTGGCTGCCGCTGGTGCTGTGCGTCGCCAGCTGCCTCTATCTCATCTCCTCACGGCAGTTCTGGCTGCCGCTGGTGCTGTGCGTCGCCAGCTGCCTCTATACGTCTCCTCACGGCAGTCAATTATAATCAGAAGCCCACGGGTCAGCACACGAGCCGGATGACGTTAGGCGCACTACTCAGCACGTGCAGACTGGTACACCGGGCAGCAACACACAAGTGTGAGCCAGACAGCTGGGGTAAAGGGGGTGGCCGGCGTACTGGCGGGATGGCACCATGAACGGCTGTCTCCACGCACATGGTTGTGCGCTCTTAACCACGGTATCCCACCCTCGCCGTTTGGTTGGTCATATCATCGAAACGGGGCAAATCGGAACCAGATGCTTTGAAAAAGCTTCCTAAATGCCATGGTAGCCGTAAATTGGCAACGATCTCACGCAGCCAGCGAATTACACTGAATTACATGTCAGCCCCGGGAGCCCTGTCGTCCTTAACTAAGCCGCACGCTTCATACAATCGGCACCTCACCACATTACTCCAAGCATACACATCCGCTAAGACCAACGTCATCCCGCTCATTCTTGGCTCGTACACGAACAATCCCTCTTTCTCCCTTTCAGCGCCCTTGCATGAATAAAAATTGTCACGTTTTCTCGAGTACTAAATCCTAGATTATTGCAGTCCTAAATGCGCCTGGTTAAGCATGGTCTTCATAAGTTTATTTTCTGCTGTTCTTCGGCCAGTTCTCCGTTCTCAAACACAAGCTATGAATCATAGCTTGCTATCAAAGGTATCAAGCTATCTAACCTTTTGTTTCTAGCCTTTCTAACCTAACCTTTCTAAAGCTATCAAACCTTTCTAAAGCTATCAAACCTTTCTAAAGCTATCAAACCTTTCTAAAGCCATCAAACCTTTCTTAATTTGAGCACACCTATTCCACCTATGACTCACCTACCTGACTTACTTATGAACCCAAGCTCCGCCCATTGGGGTAACAACATATGACGTCTTAGGCAAGTGCGTCATGTGCGTCTTTCAAAAACGCCTATATAGGTACAAGTATGGGCAAAAACCCAGACAAGGAGAAAATGAAGCAGAGGAAGCCAAGAAGCAGCTGATTTGGCTCGTGTAGACATGTAGTCCGCAGCAATGGCGCACTTGGAATTTATGCGATTCGACCGTTAGTTACGTTGTCAAAATCATCATCTTCTATCACTTTCGTCCACATCTTGTCCACTTACCCGACATCCAAGACCAACAAGAGCGCGTCGACCATTGGTAGTCGTTTTGCATACAACCACGAATTATTTGTGAACGACCTAATTTGCTCAGCCTCTCAGCCAAGTGAGGGATGGACTTAGGTCGTGACGTCACTGATCAGTCGCTAGGTACGTCATGGCTTGAATGGGGCTGCTAGAATTTGGGAATGGGTTTCCATTGGCGAATGCAGAACGGGCGCCTGACATCACTGCAAAAGCCCATCCCTGATTTCCTACCTCGAGTACGTCTGTCCGCCCTAAGACGTTGTCTGCCTTTCGCGTGACGTCTCGGCCGACCACCACTTATCTTCTGGCTAAGAGACCAAGCAAGCGCGGTTGCTCATCAGCAAAGTCATAGTTGTTCACAAAGTAACGCCTGGAAACGATTGAAAGGCTATTGGCGGTCTTTTATGTCGGGAAGCGGACAGCTCTTGACCGCGTGCGCATAGTGTGCTTGCCGATAACGTTTTCAGCGACAAAGCATTCGATAACGCCATAATGGAACTATATCCAAATGTGCCATTGCTACCAGCGTATTTTCTTTTTTAGCCCCTAGCGAGCCTCGAGTAGCGGAAAACCGGAAACATTTTGCGGTTAATGAAAAATCGAGACATTTTGTGACATGCCGTTGCGAATGAAACATGCATACAGATTGATGTGATTTGCACGTTGCATGCATGCACGTTTAAGACTAAAATTGCAAAGCTTATGACTATGAGTATGATAATGACTATGCCGCATGAGCGCAGGCAGCATTTCATAAAGCGAGTTGGGGGAGAGGGGTCTCGGTAATGGCAGGCACGACGTTGATGTTCTTTATGTCTGCAGCTATCTATAACAAATAAATTCGGGCATGCGGGGGCGGGGGCTTGACTACCCCTTTGCTATGCTGCCTCCCCATAGATGGTAGCTCAGCCCCAGCAGAGCCACGTTATCGTGACGGAACATGGCCCACGACGATAGCAGCGGGGGGGGGGGGGGGGACTGGGGAAGAGGGACCACTGAGATTCCCGGGTCCTGGCGGACCTAAAATATGAGGAGTTCAGATGTCCAAAGGGGGGAGAGGTCTAGTAGACTGGGGTTCCGGTGATTGGGGGATGATGGTTCTTTTTGGCTCACGCGGTATGAAGGAAAAGGTAGGAGATCAATGAAATGAGTCCCAAAACGTTTTTGGTCAAAATAGGTGACCACTCTTGCCATTGTATGGTTCCCAGAGTGATCCCCCAGGAGTGTAACACTGGAGAGTCCCATGTGGAACCATCCAGTCACTGATATACCTACCTCGTTGTCTGCTCAGTGTCCCTTGCCGCTCAGGGGCCTTTTAGCTGCTCGCCGGGGGTCTGGCTATTGCAGGATCGCTATAGCCACTGAAGAGCCCACTGGCTATTGAGATGTTCCTGTGGGTTTTCGGTACGGTGCGGACATCCATGCCAAAGATGTTTGCGCGTAACTTAAGCACGGAAAAAGTATTGGTGACGTGTGTTGCACCGGCGTATGCCAATATTCAGGGACGAATTTGCAGGCGGCTTTGGCAGGATAAAATGAAGAAACACATGTCAGGCTATTATTCAATGGCAGCAGACACCTATGCTCAGTGGCGGATGCACAAAGAGGGCTGCGGGGCCATGCTCCCACCCTTGGGCGCCGAAGGAGCCCATAGGCTGTGGGGGGGCCCACAACCGACCGAATGGGCGCAAGTTTTTTTAACACCAAACGATGCAAAACTGGACGTCTTTGTGCCTCCACGCAACCGAAAACGGCAGCAGGCTAGCCTTAAGTGCCCATGAGCAGACAAAAATAATTCCTGGCTGATTGAGTGGATGGTGATTACCGAGGCTTCTAGATCCATAATGTCATCCGGAGGTCCTTCGCTGCTCTCGGGACACTATGTGCTTCCGGGACACTCTTGATAGATCAGCGGCCTTCCCCTGATTCTTCCCACTCTCCCGAAGGGCTCTATACGGTATTCCCGGCACTCCATATGTTCACCTACCCGGGCTCTCTGGGCTGCTCAGGGGCCATTCACATTGGTATCTGATTCTTTCCACTTTCTCGGAGGGCCCTGTGCTGTTGCTGGAGCCCATATAATGAAACACAACGGGGCATTCGCTGCTCAGGGACCTTTCATGCTGATCTTGGGCTTTTTCCCTTTGATCTCATTTGTGGAGGACCTTTCACTTCTGTCGGAGTCCTTTCTGTTAGCCTGTCCTGACACTATTGATCGCACAGGGGCCGCAACAATGGTTTCGGACGGTTCGTATTTCCTCGGAGGCTTCTAAGCTGTTGTCCGGAGCCTTATACATTCATTTGCCAAGGCACTCTCGATCGCTCACGGCCATTGATTCATGCACATTGGTGTTGGTTTTTTCTCGTCTGCTCGAAAAATCCTACATTGCCAACGGCAGCCTCTTGGTTGGTCTGCATGACCCTCGATCGCCCGATTGCTCAGGTGCCGTCCATATTGGTCTCGGGTTTCCCATTTTATCGGAGGACCTATGCTGTTGACGGAGCACTCTTGCTCTGATCTCCTATCTTGGCTGACGGGGCACGCTGTAAACGTTAATCGGCTGGGGCGCTCACTATCGCCGCGGGGCCCCCCACAGTGGCCTTGGGCTCTTCCGGCGAAGCTTGAAGGACTTGGCTGTTGTTAGAAGCCCCTCATGTGCTTGCGAGCGTAGCACTCCCGTCACTCATAGTGTCTTCCTTGCTCGTGTGAACGAGCCTAGCTTCATTGGTCCATGTGCGCAAGTCCGAGATCTATACAATCCTATCTATGCATGGCGATTTCCCTTTGCCCTTTGGTCGTAGAGAGCAGCAGCCGCATGTGTTCCAACCAATTTTAACGGGCAATTGCCTAAGATAATTTTACATACCGCTGACGTCGTAGGTGCTGTTTTGGTTGACTTTTTGGCGGGGGTCATTTTTTACTTTTGCACCACGTTCGTAACACATTTGGAATGCTAGCATGCTCCCTCACTATGTGCGAAACAGAAACTCGTTATTTGTCGTTAGCCATCAGGTGATCACATCGACTAGCAGGTTGACCAGCCGCCGGGAACCGGCTAGCCGTAACCAACCTTGCAGGCAAGTGTCGAGTTTGATTTTGATGACATTTAGCTGCCAAATGTACCTAAGTTTGCCAGATGTTGTCCAAAATATTTGCCTGAAATTGATAGGATCCACCATTAATTGAAGAAAATGGAAGTGCTTGAAGTGTATAAATACGAAACACGCCTAGTTTTCTCGGGCTGCTCACAGGAAGATGCATTCCGCATGGCAAACAGGATACACAAGGATCTTAAAATCCAATGACCAAAACGCAAGAATTATTTTGAGGGAC